CGTTACTCACTGCACCGTGAACACATGGGCCACAGCCCGGCCCCAAGGCCAAGATCTAATTCTGAACGCGTGTTCCCTGAAGCCCTGTATGACGCGCTGACATCTGCTATCTGTGCCTTGTGTAATGTGAGGAAATATGGGTTTTCTGTGCAAAAGGTCATTTGACTCGGCTGGGTCAAAGAGCTGGGTCGCTGAGAACTTTCACCCACAGATTGAGACCTTTGCAGACATAAAGTCTGCAAGAGTCTGCTGGAAACCATAACATCTGCCACCTGCAGTCTACCAGAAGATGAGTTGCCAGGAAATGTAGTCATAACAAGTTAAACTTCCTTTCTTGATTTTAATGTTAAAGAATAATCATTATCATTTTGCTCATTAAAAATGTGTTTTAATCAAATGAATGATTCTTATGCTTTGGGTAATTATAATGGATTAATGAATCCATACCTGATTAAATAAAGTTTGAGGATGTTTGTTAACCTTCACACACACTCAAGCACACACACACTCACACACACCCACACACAGATTCTCACAGTAAACTCCAAAAAACATTTGCTGACGCACACGTTTGCTTTGAGAAGAGAAAGGCTTTTGGTAAGTTTTAGTCTTATGATTCAGTTCGTGCTTGACAACGAAAGAGAGAGGACCTGACGAAACCGAAGGGGGGGACAGAGCCGATCGGCTCGTTTCTCCCCCCCCTCCCGTTATTCCTGTCAGCCAGACAGGAATAGTAGAAATGCAACAACTAACGCAGACTCATACCGGGTCTTTTGATTTTCTGAGTGAACTAAACTTAACAAACGCATCGACAAAACGTCTTTCCATCGACGTGTACCGCGGGCATCTCTGGACTGGGCCGCGGACACCTCCGTCTCCTCTGCCAGCCGCTGGTGTCACCTGGATGGACATCACCATCCTCTGGCGTCCCGGATCTAAAAGGGGGTCCGATTTTCGGTGAGACAGAACATGGCAGATAGCGTTTTGATGCATCTTTTCCAACAAAACCTAAGTTTATTCAAACCATCACTTTTCACTCAGACACCTGTTTCTTCCTGAAGCAAAATCAGATGCACACACGCATTCATCTCACCTCATGTTCAATTCTCACTACACTTTGCACACACGCATCCATAATCACATCATATCACTCTCAACCTTCAGCACCTCCAACAGAAGGTCTATTTGAGCAAGTTTACAATATCAACTGTTAAAGATTGTCCCACAAAGTTGCCAATGTTGATTGTTATTTCCTGTTTGTCAATTTCAAAATCATTAGTTTAATTTGAAGAATTAAAACTTTTAATTGTCAAACTGGTTTCTTCATTGAACTGAAACACAGACCCACGGATATTATCGACAGTTTATCGATGAAAACAACCTTTGAGTCTTCTTAAAACTATACAATTTGGTTATTAATTTAATAAAATTAATATCACAAATTACAATGTAGAATGGTTCCTCTTTCATAAAAGAGCATAAACCACGACGCTACACTTGGATAAAGACCCATCTAAGACTAAGGAGGTTCTGCTTGTCTCCTCTGCAGGCCTGTGCACGTCCTCGTGCACCTATGCCGCCTGTGCACAACCTCATTGTAAAGAAGAGCCCTTTTTCTATCTTATGTCGTTCTCTTTGGGAAAGCCTCCAGCTTTCAGTCACACCCGGCGCCGTGGACATCAGTCCTTACGCTCCGGCTCCAGTGACATTGTCCTCTGTCTTTCCTTGACCTTTCGGTGGGTCTAACAAAGCATCTTATGCCGGTTGTGTGTGTCTTCGTGATGCCCCATGCAGCTAAGCCTTCACTTCTGTCTTCTCTACCGTGACTGTATGAACCTGGGCCCTCTTCGTGTATCACACTCAGGGAGTGCCCAGGCCTGTTATCGACTAACTACCATCTGTTCACACAAAAGGTATTTGCAAGGTTTGATCCTGAAATGGTATGCACTCAGAAACTGCTAAGTGCCTTTGATGCGTTTACTGAAACAGGTACCCAATTTTCTGCATGACATACCTGCGGGTTTGTGTGGTGTTGGTGAAATGGCGAGAGATTTTAAACGTCCTATGTGTCATGGTCTGCGTCTGCGTCTCCCCTCATGTGTCTCCTTGTGTTCTCCATCCCTCTCTAGGTTCTCCTTTTGTGTCTCCTAGCGCCCTCATGTGTCCTTGTCTGCGTCTCTTTTATGTGTCTCTTTGTGTTCCTCATGTGTCTCCTGTTTTGCAGCCCTCTAGATCATCCCTCCCAGGTCCTGTGTTCCTTCAGTCTTCCCCAGTCACCCCTCTGCAGTTTTTTATAGGTTCAGCTTCTCATTGTATTAGTCTCTTTAGTATGTTTTCCCACAGGTTTTTGTAGTTTCCCTTCCCCCTAGAATATTAGTTAATTTTGCGCGCTCATCTTGTCTTTAGGTTTTTTACTCTTAGGTCATGTTAGTTTCCTCCCTGATTAGTTAATTGCTTTCACTTGGATCCTCTCCCCACACATCGGTATCCTATCTGCCTCCCATCATGCCCCAGTGTATTTAACCCTGCGTCTCTGTCTGTTGTCAGTCCATTGTTTTGTGTCAGTGTTGTTTTGTGCTCTATGTGAGCTTTTGCGCCTTGTCTCTAGGTTTTGTGCTCTAAGTGAGCTTATGTTCTCCTGGTCTTCAGGACTTTGGTTTTTGGCTTCCTGCCCTTTGGATTTTTTGTTCCTCATCCTAAATAAAAGGATTTTACTTTTAATCCGCTCCTGCGTCGTGCCATCTGGTGCTTCTGCATCTTGGGTCCTAACTTCCTCCTAACCTGCAACGTGACACTATGACGGTTACACGCATGTGTTACAGACTATGGTATGTGTACTTTTTCAGTAATTTGCCAGCAGGCCCCTGAGGTCCAGTGACCAAAGCCTACTGGTTGTGCAGCACCAGGCTAAAGACCAGAGGTGACAGATCATCTGCTGCTGTGGCCCCCAGATTCTGGACCTCTCTCCCCCTGAGCCTGAGATAGGTGGACTCAGTGGTCTCCTTTAGAAAACCAGCTGAAAACGTACCTGTTCAAGCTGGCTTTTGCAAGACTTTCGTCACCACTCTCCTTATTCTGTTCTTATTCCGCCTTTCCCGGGATCCATTGATTTCCCTCTTTCCTATTCATTTTCTCTCTCCCTTTCCTTACTTTTTTGTTGTTCTTTTCTCATTTTAAACATATATTTGTATTATTTTAGAAATATTTTTATACTTTATTTGTTTGTTTTTGTTTTTGTTAAGTGCCTTGTGATATTTTTCTCTAGAGGTGTTATATATAAGATCATCTACTTTTTCATTTTCAAAGGTGTGTCTCTTGTCCTTCAGATGTAGGTGGACTGCAGAGTCCTGACCTGAAGAGGTGGCTCTCCTGTGTTGTGCCATGCTCTTGTGTAATTGTTGTTTAGTTTCCCCGATGTAAACATCTGGACAGTCCTCACTGCACTGGACTGCATAAACAATGCCAGTGAGTTTCTGTTTGGTGTTTTGTCTTTAGGATGGACCAGGTTCTGTCTGAGGATGTTGTTGGGTTTAAAGTTTGCTGGGATGTTGTGTTTGGAGAAGATTCTTCTAAGTTTCTCTGAGACTCCTGCACGTATGGGATGGCGGTGCCTTTGGGCTTGTTGTCCTTTTCTTTGCTGGTTGCTGCTTTGGATGCTTTTCCAGAGTTCATTGTAGATTTCACAAAGGCCCAGTTAGGGTATCTGCAGTTCTGGAGAGCTTTCTTCATGTGTTTCCCTTGCTTTTGTTTTCCTTCAGTCTTTGTGGGAATGTTCTCGGCCCGATGGTGTAAAGTCCTGATGACCAACATTTTGTGCTCCAGTGGGTGATGTGGGTCTACACGTTGTGTAGCTAATGCATTCACTCAGCAGGAAACACTGTGCCTAAGTGGCACAAATGCTTGGAAGTTTGGTTATACTTTACGAGAAAATATGACAACAGGGCAACTAGCAATACTTACAAAGTAACTAATCAACAAACACTGCCTATCAAAGACAAAGACTTTCTAACAAAAGTCTAAGTTAGGCCAATGTGATTCCTCCTCCCTGTCCCTCAGCACAGGAGCTCCACAAGGCTGCGTGCTGAATCCCTTTCTGTACTCCCTGTGCACACGACACACATGACTGTAAGTCCACTCACAACACCAACGCTATCATTAAATTTGCCGATGATGCAGCCGTGGTGGGCCTAATCAGCCAGGGAAATGAGTGCGTACAGGGAAGAAGTGCAGATGCTGGTGGACTGGTGTACAGCTGACGACCTGACCCTGAATACCAACAAAAATAAGAAAATCATCATTGACCCAATAAGGAAAAAGGTGGAACATGGAGAGGGTGTCACAGTTAAAGTTCCAGGGCGCTCAGGAAGATCAACCTTTATCAAAAACTGTTGGTGTGACTTTACCACTGCTCCATAGAGTTGGTGTGATAGAGAAGCAGCTCTGCAGCTGACAGAAAGGTTCTGCAGAGGATAATCAAAACTGCAGCGAAAATTACAAACACACACCTTCTTGCCCTGGATGACTTCTTTACCACTTGCTGCTTTCAAAATACCACATACATTCTAAAGGACTCAAACCACCCTGCTAACCATCTCTTCAAACTGCTTCCATCTGGTAAACAATACAGGGCAATTTTAAACATGCACCGCCAGGCTGATGAGCAGCTTTTATGCAAGAGCCATCACTGAACAGAATGTTGTTGCTAGGGGGTCACACTAACAGTGATTCTGCTGGACAATTAATGCACTACAGCAGCTTTACATTAAGCTAGCTAATTCTGATACCTCATGTGACTGTTTACATTTATATTATGTTTACTTAATATTTCAGTTTACATTTTAAATACGGCCTATTACCATGTTTACATTTATACTTTTACATTTTTTGCACCTTAAACTGGCTGTATGTGCGAAGTGTGTGTGAGTGAGACAGAGAGCGTGTGTGGTAGTGAGCACAAAGTCAGTTTTGTTGTACACCTGTGCAACGAAAATAAAACCCTCTTGAATAAAAGTTTTATTGGTCCTGCAGGTAACTGCTTTATGGCCAGCTGCTATCATTCATACAGCACAATAAGTTACTAAAGCTCAATAAAAACATAACAAGTTACAAAAGTACAATCAAAACAGTTCACAAAGCCAGTCAACTCAATCCATCATTAGCCATGTTTCAGAGAGCACAAGAATATACTGTTTTGTTGTCTATACCCACATTCTAATTGTGTCTATCTTTGGGAAAATGAATTTGCTAAAACAAAGTTCAAACTGGGTTTAAAAACTGTTGTCAAATTTTGATCAAATACATGTATTATTTTTACATGATTAAAACAAGGAACGTATCAGTGAAACAGATGAATGAATCTGGTTCTGATGGGTCCTTGAGTCTCATCCAATCCCTGACATCTTACTTCCTGTCCAGGTTGAAGATCTCTTGGCTGTTGATCAAGATGAACTCCACAATCTGGTTCTGATACACCATGTTGACTGCCATGTTTCCTGCATCCAATTCTGGCCACATCAGGGTTGGTCCAAACACAATACTGATACCTTGAGTGGACATGAGGTTCTTCTGAGAGAAAGCCAGGACTCTAAAAACAACAAAACAAATGGAAGATCAAAGAAAACATGTGAAACCAGTGTTTGAGATCACTGGATGAATGGGTCCATTACTTGCAGTACAATATGAGTCAGTACTCAGAAATCAACTAAACTGCAGCTGTGTTTCACAAAAACACAACAAAGGCAGACGTGATGAAGTTATTTATTCTGCTCAGTTGCAGGCTTTTTGTCAGACTCGATCAAAAAAAAAATGCTTCGGGCAGCGAGGCAGAGGGGAAAGTCAGGAACAACCAGTGACACAGCTCCATAGCCAATCAGTTACTGACGTTCTCTGAACTGACATATTTTTTCTTACTTAGTACACTTGGAACCACATCAAAGCAGGCACCAAAAAAGGGGCTGCAACCTGGTATCTGTTACTGATGGAAAGGCCGTCAAACCGGTCCAATTCGATTAGAGTCATGCTGAGCAAGTTGTAATTGAATTACTGGATGAATTGTACTTTGTGTAAAAGACCTATACTATTATAAATGTCAGTACATTTCTGGCACATAATTCCTTAAACCAAACACTAACAGAAAATGGATGGACAGAGTAGAGACCCACATGGCAGCTCAAAAGGATGCTGAAGATGAGTTCTGCATAATAAGTCCCCTTTAACTTTTCTTTCTTTTTCGTCTCCCCTCCCCGTGCCACACCTGGTGTGGAGTGCGGTGCCTTGGTCTGCCTGAATGTTCATGGCTCCCGGGTCAGGGGGTTCAAGATTTTTGGCGTCTGCCTGATTAATCCCGGTGGCTGTCTGGTGGGGTCTGGGTCCCTGGGCTCTGTTGGGTCCCCGGCGGGGGTGGTCATCCCTAGGTCCCGGGTCGCTGGGTCCCGGGCACGGCCGGCTAGGGGGTGGGAGGCTGCGGGCGGGCCTGTGGGCTTGCCGCTGATATCTCCCGGGACTCTGCCGGCTGCTGGTTGTGGCCCCCCGGGACGATCCTCTGTGCCTCTCGAGGGGAGCGGGGGCCTTTCTGGTTGCAGTCTCCTTGGAGTTCCTGTGTTCTGGGGCAGCGCCTGGATCTCTGGGACTTGGAGCCTCTCCTACGCATCTTTGTGGGGCAGATCTGTGGTCCCTCACACTCTCTGTTGGCCCCTTTTATAGAGAAACCTTACATAAACAAGCGCGTGTACACACACAGGTGCTCACATGGTGCTCTCATAAGTATGGGCTTGGGCACGTTCAACACATGTCTCAAGGCTGTGGTTGCCACTAAATGCACCATGATATATTATCATGTGATGGTTCAGTTAAACAATGCTGATTGTATATTTCTTCGAGTTGACGCAGCAATAGCTTGCTCCTGTTGTATTGTTGCTGTGTCCCTTTTTTCCCCTCTTCTTTCTCTTTCTGCAGGTCTAGAAGCAGACTCTTGTTCATTATTGTTTATTTTTGTGGACCTCCCCCTTCTCTCCCCACCTTTTCTTTTCCTTTCTCTTTCACCTCTGACTCCGTGTCTGGTCGGAATTACAAAGCATTCAAAAACAATAACAATAAAGTTTTAAGTATCATGCGTGACATTAAAAGCAGACGCTTTGATGCTCCACCTGAGAGTAAATCTGCACGACTCTAGTTATAGTCACATGAACTATTAAAGACGAAGTGGAACCATGCTAGAAACACACAAGCACGCAGGAAGATTGCGCCACCACAGGGATTGGATTTCTTGATGAAATCTCTGGCAAAACGCTTTAAAACTGTTGAGGAGAAGCGAGACAGTTCGAAACGGTATGAAGCAGAGAAGCGTGTGCGTAGGTTGAATGATTCTTGGCGGTTTAAAGAAGACGGGAGGCGCAGAGAATGGCCGTGTTCGAGTTGAGCAGCGCCTCGCCAGGAACACAGACGAGAGCAGACGGAAGCAGCAGGGGGAGTGGCTGAAAGCCGGCGTTTAACGCCGGGGACACACCGGCCGCGGAAGCGCCGAGAAGCGAATCGCTCACGAAATTCGGCCGCTGCTCGCCGCTCCTCAGTTCAGATCAGACGCGCCCCAGTCGAGGCACGCCTTGGCTCAGCTGTAGTTTTTCTTTTAACTACTTGGTGTCCTCCATTTCCTCTCTGCCTTTTCTCAGCTCTTTTCCTCTACGTGTGTGTGTGTGTGTGTGTGTGTACCTATGGTATGAACCAGTTGTTTCTGCCAGTTGAATCTCTTGGAACCCGCTCCATTTCTGCAGCTGTATCCTAGCAGTTTCTTCTGAAATGGGTACGTAAATAACCATGTTTTTCGGGGGTCGTACAGCTCCTTGTGTTTCTCAACTTCCATAATTAATTTAAAGTCATCCATCTTAACTGCTTGCCTCAGACTTTCTGCCTCTCTGTCCTGTTTGCTCCGGTAAAAAGACACCCAAAATCACACACCCCTTCACGTGGTCACACACGCACACAAGTTTGATGTGTGTGTATGTGTGTGCGTGTGGTTTTTCTGCAGTGTCTGATTACGAAAACATTTGACTACTGCGGAATTTTATTTTGAAATGCTTTATTTTGTTAAATTTCCCAGCCTTCCTCTTATGTCTAGGTTTGACTTCCTGCCAGAATTGACGCGATTCACCCGCGGCTCGCGAAAAAAAGAGCAGAAGCCGAAATGATCGCTGCACGGCGCGGGCTGGAGCGCCGGCGCGAGGCAATTCGCGATGCTTCAGCGGCCCATGTGGTCTATAGAATAGCTTAACAAGGGCGCCGAATGAAGGCGGTCCCATTTTTGCGGCGCTTCCGCGGCCGGTGTGTCCCCGGCGTAAGTCGGACAGATTTCCCTACATGTGTAGCTCGGGGGTGACGATGGCTGAAGATATCACGTTAGCATTCACACTTGTTCAATTTTCAATTTTAATTCTGGTGCCTGTTAGCAGCTGAAACAAATCGTCACGTGCTTGTGGATATCATATATTGTATATGAAAACATGACTGTAATAATAAGTAAAGGTTATCAGCTGTAGCTTCAGTGTGCTCATAGGAAACGTGACAAAAGAAAACATATTTCTCTTTATGGCCTATATTGTTGTTACATGTATTGTTGTAACATGACTTACAGAATACATGTGACCAACTAACATTTCATGTTCTACCACCGGATGTTTGGATCAAAATATGAACCAATCAGATCTTAGTTCAGGTGAGAGCCAGGCGTATCCCGTCATCATCTAGGTTTTGCAGCCGAGGGAGAACAACTGCAGCGCCTTGCTCCAAAATCTGTGGCCACCTTGATCTCACGAGGTTATCGTTGCCTCGTTGCATGACGTCAGAGCAAGTCGGCGTCAAGTCGGACACAAATCTAACCGGCATGCACTGCTCGCCGATCACCTCTGGTCTAATCTGCGCAGAACTGGCTCATCTCGAACACAGCCAATGGCTCGAGTATAGCAAAGTGGAGTTGGTGATGTACTGCGTTGTATGCCGGAAGTATGTGACGACAAAATCGAGTTTTGTTGAGGGAACAAACAAATTCAAACTTGAATACGTTATTATGTTTGTGAATGTGTACAAAATAAAGGTTTATTACATTTTAAATGGTTCAGTTGTTATTTTGACTCGTTTTGGCAGCTGACCAGCGGGGCTGGTAGATTTTCAGAGTTACCGGCCCGGCTGGCTGGTTGGTTTTGAAGTTAATGTCCACCCCTGTCATATTAAGCACATGATGGCTAAAAAGAAGAAAACGCATTACATGAGCATATTAAATAACACAACAATTAATATACAACAATAAAACATAATGCCATTGCACTTACTCCATTAAAACATAAGAACATAAAAAACATACATTCATATAACAATACAACTCATTAAGGAATCAAAAGTAACCATATATCCATCAATCTCTCATACATATTGTCACAACATGCCGGTGAGTGAGACTGAGGTGAGGATCCAAGTGCGGGGGAAGAAACAGACAGGGAGGCAGACAGGAACATTTAAAAAACTGATTTAATGGAGGACACGCAGGACAATGAAACAATGACCCAACCAGACAAAATGGACTAACAGGGTTTAAATACAGGAGGAGCTGGGACCTTGGGTGATTGGGAGACGAGAGGCAGGTGGGAGCAGTTAACATGGACACAGGACTGAACAGAATGGGGAGACAGGACAGGGTGTGACACATATACCATGGGTTAAAAAATAAAGACCAACATACAATGATTATTATGAGAGGTGTTCACATTTTTGTGTGCTTAAAAGCCAGTTCTTAAGACGAAGTGTGAATGTATGATATGGCCTCAGCATGTCATGGTAGTTGTTACCCATCCATCCATCCATCCATCCATCCATCCATCCATCCATCCATTTTCAGCGCTTATCCAGAGTCGGGTCGTGGGGGCAGCAGCTTATGCCGAGACACCCTGACTTTCCTCTCCCCAGCTTCTTGGGCCAGCTCTTCCAGGGGAATCCCAAGGTGTTCCCTGGCCAGCCGAGAGACATAGTTCCTCCAGCTTGTCCTGGGTCGTCCCTTGGGTCTCCTCCCAGTTGGACAGCCCCTCCCGGATGACCGAGCATCTCACCCTATCTCTAAGGGAGAGCCCAGACAGCCAACGAAGAAAACTCATTTAGGCCGCTTATATCCGTGATCTCGTTCTTTTGGTTTTTACCCAAAGCTCGTGATCATAGGTGAGGGTAGGAACGTAGATCAACCGGTAAATTGAGAGCTTTGCCTTCCAGCTCAGCTCTCTCTTCACCACAACAGATCGGTACAGTGCACTAATTCGCATATCGATCACACGCTTTTTCCCTCACTCGTGAACAAGACCCCAAGATACTTAAACTCCTTCACTTGAGGCAGGACCTCATCTCTGACCTGGAGAAAACACCATTTTCAAGCATAAAGGTGCCCATATATGCTTTTGGCACCAGGAGACCTTAGGCCGCAGTTTGATGATTGACGTTGTTATCATTTCATCTGATCTGAGGGCGCATGTATTGAACACTCAGGTGAAGGGAGGGGCAGAGCTATCAACTGACCACTACCTGGTGGTGAATTGGCTTCAATGGTGGGGGAGGAAGCTGGCCAGACCTGGCAGGCCCAAATGTATTGTGAGGGTCTAACGCTAACCAGGCGGCACGCCTTCCAGTGAGGAAGTAGGATATGGGGACTTTGAGTTGGAATCTCCAATCTCTGGTGCTGAGGTCACTAAGGTGGTCAAAAAACTCCTCAGTGGGAAGGACCCGGGGGGTGGACAAGATCTGCCCTGAGTTCTTCAAGGCTCTGGATGTTGTGGGGCTGTCACGGTTGACGCAGCTCTGCAGTATCGCGTGGACATTGGAGGTAGTGCTATTGGACTCGCAGACTGGGGTAGTGGTCCCCCTATTTAAAAAGGGGGGCCGCAGAATGTGTTTCAACTACAGAGGGATCACACTTCTGAACCTCCCTGGTAAAGTCTATTCATTCAGCAGTTCTAGAGAGGAGGGTCCATCGGATTGTCGAACCTCAGATTCAGGAGTTGTTGCTCTCATCTGAATTTTAGGTATCAAATGTATCAAGTTTTGCTTAATATTTCAGTTCATAATGTGTTTTATTTCTCTAACTACACCTTATCATATCATATCACAGCGGTTCCCAAACTTATTTAGCCGCGCACCCCCTTCTATGTCCCGACCATGTCGACGCACCCCCCAGCCCCACATCAGGGCATGGCTATATATATATATATATATATATATATATATATATATATATATATATATATCAGACATCAAGCTAAACAGACAGGGTTAAAAAAAATATGATCGACCTTTTTCCACATCACTTTGATTTTTTAAATAGTAATTAATAAACATTCGATACCATTACAATTTCCTTTGATTTAATTTTAAATAAATATTTAGAGTGCCCAGGTAGCACATAAAGAATGCAATTTAACGGTTTTCTTTGCGGCCAGAGCTCTCTCCTTCCTTCTGCTCTGCGTAAACCTGAGCTGGTCACCTACTTGTGCGTAATCAAATGTCTATAGGGGAAAAGATGGAAAAGCTATAGCCTCAGACCGACTTATTGCTGTTTCATGGTGTGGCTGAATCTGCGATCCACTGCCACGCGGACTGGAATAACAAGTGCTGCAGTAACTTGAGTTGTGGTCAGGTTCATGAGGAGTCACTGGCTGGAGCGGACCCGACTTTAATACGTCATCCCAAAATAGAAGCTAATATCTTAATTTGACCTTGAATGAAAAATGTTATAAAACCTCTTAAAAGTTTTTATCACAGAGGAGGCAGCGCTCATTTCTGTCTTCAGTCTGATGGCACGCCGGAGTTTGCGCAGCGTGCGCGCTTATTGAATCTGTGTGTGTGTGTGTGTGTGCGCGCGGCACAGCTCCATGAGCCGCTCAAGTCACTGCGTCTCGTTATCGGCGCTATTTAAACTAATGTTGTAAAATTACTTCTGCCCAGCCCAGATGTGCTCACTTGTGCACCCGTGAGCCGTGGTTCCGCTGGAACGCGTCTGACCTCTGACAGACGCACTCTGAACTTCAGATCTTCAGCGCGCTGTTAATAGCCTGAATGGGAATCATTTCTTGATTTATTTAGTTACATCCACAATGTTCTGTGTGTGAGGTTTACAATGTCAGAATACCTGCATGAGACAGGTGTTAATTACAATCTGCCAGAATGACTCACCACCTTCAGATTTCTCCAACATCATTAAAATGATCAAATACGGAACATATCAGCGTGCGCAGGCCAGAGCGCTGAAGCTCGGCGCATTGTTATGAAGCTAGGGCACATGCGGAGGACAAACACACACACGCGCAAAAATATACTTGTTTTCAATTACATTTATTGGGCCCACTTACTTTTTCTTAGGCCCACCCACAAATGAGTTTCTGGCTACGCTAATGGTGACTTATGACAGACTTCTCTGAGCTCCGCAGCCATTACACTTTTCACTTTGCGCACCCGCTTTTCATACAACACATGCAGCTCAAAGCGCTTTACAATATTAAAAGCAACCCACAGCAGTAGGTTTCCCACTCCTCCCATGCAGATTAACATCCAACATCTTCCAAGTCCTCCCCTCCTCAATCCCATCCCAAGCAGATGCAAACTCTCTCTCTCTCTCTCTCTCTCTCTCTCTCTCTCTCTCTCTCTCTCACACACACACACACACACACACACACACACACACACACACACACACACACACACACACACACACACAAACACAAACACACACACACACACACACAAACTAAAGAGAACGGGCAGCTGGCTGAGCGCAGATGTAGTAGGCACAAAGAAGACGGAAACACCATCAAAGGAGCCAACTGCACCGGGAGCAGTAGGATCGGCAGCAGCAGCCCGGGCACCACCACATGGCACCAAGGGGAGGCACGAGAAGCACCCAGGGAGCCACAGCCAACCGCTGCCCCCACAGAGGAAACACTGGCAAAATCTAATGAGATTAAGATAAGTTAAGAATCGAATTTAGCAAAAACACCTGAAAAATAAAAATCTAAATGAAACACACTGATGAAAGATAACCAAGTAGAAACACACAATTATTTTTATATATATATATATATATATATATATATATATATATATATATATATATATATATATATATATATATATTTATATATTGTAATACAGATTATTAATACTGGTTAAAACAAATAATTATTAAAAGTTAAAACAAGTCAAAGTTAATATATAAGAAAATGTGTGTCATTTAATTAAAAGAGTAAGTAATAAAACACTGATAAAACATATAAAAGATGGTAAAACAGGCTAAAATAGATCAAAATCAGCTAAAAGCTATACTTAAAAGGTGAGTCTTGAGCCTGGCCTTAAAAACATGAACGCTCTCTACGGCACTTAAATCTTCTGGCAGACTGCTTCAGAGGTGAGGGCCATAAGACTGGAAGGATGCCTCGCCTTCGGAGTGCATCCTGACTTTTGGTATAACGAGGAGACGACTGCTCGAGGAGTGCAGGGGCCACGAAGGCTCGTATTTAAGTAGTTCTGAGAGTTTAGGAAGGCCTAAGTTTTGATATGATACATACATGATGCATACATATGATACAGAAGTCTAGTAGCCAAATCCTATGTGATTTACATTTTATTTCATGTAAACAAGTTATTTTCCTATTGTGTACATGCAATGCAGATGTTTGTTGTATTTTGTTGGAAGTCCATTATTGCAGCGGAAGTGACAGAAGTAACATCGTGTCCCTGCTGTTTCTTCACTATCCCTCCTTTACAAGGGTGTAACATTTGCATCACTCAAAATATTTTGGTAAAATACTCATCTCATTTTGAAGGACACAACAAACATGGAGGATAACAAGTGTTTCTTTACTGAAGACTTTGGAAGAAAATTGCCAAAAGTAATTTTTGGGTATATCAGCGCCACCTAATGGATGCAGTTCAAAGTTTTTCTCAGTCTACAGGAAACATGTACATGATCTGTAATTTTTTGGACAGAATATATATTTTTCATGGGTAAATGGATGAAAATCTTTAACTCATTCACTGCCAGCTGTTTTCTGATCACTAAAGCCCCTCACTGCCAGCGATTTTGAGTATTTTTACTGTTTTTTGAAGAGTCACAGAATATTGTGCTCTATGACTATGCAAACACCAAAACTACCAAATGAAAGAGTTAACTCTCTTTCATCAAGAGAAAACGGCTCGTTTTTAACCTTTTCCATTCTTTCACAATTTGCTGTAGAACACAGGTGGGTTTCACCAGAAATGCCTGTTTCTGAACCAAAAACGGAGAAAACAGGCTTTTTGTGTCAAGAGAGATGTAACGCAGTAAACTGTCTTTGGCACTAATATACTTTGCTTTTTTTACACCTCAGACACCCCAAAAGCAGTTACCTTGTGTAAAAATAGTAAAACCAAACTATAAAATGGTTTTTGACAAGAAATTAGATGTTTATTCACAAATGTATAACAATAAATAATCATTTTTGTCAAAGGTAACAATTTCATTTGCAGGCATGCAATCTTACAGAAAGTGCTGTTGTAGTTATACCCATGTGTGTGTGTGTGTGTGTGTGTGTGTGTGTGTGTGTGCGCGCGCGCGCGCTTCTACCCCTGCACAGAGACAGAGTATCTCACTGTGGTGTGGTAATCTATATAACACTGTCCTGCGTGCAAGGGGACACAACAGACTTTGCACATCATTTTCGTCTCTCTGCGAGTTCCTCTGCGTATGCAGACCCTACATCTTTTTGTTGGTCTCAACTTCTTACTGGTGGGTTTCAGGTAACAGAGTTTGTGTCTGCCAAGGTCTCCATCTAGCCTGCTCTCTGGGTCAGTGTTATAGGGTGCCCTCAGAGTATGTTTGACATCCTCCAAGTCCCCATCCTCAACACCTGCTCCTTCCTCTTTCTCTACCTGTTCCCCCACCTCACTCCCTTTCCGCTCGTGTACCTTCAAGGTCCAGGACTTCACTACACTACGAATGAACTTCAAAAGAGTATTACATGCCCCTGTGTTTCTGGCTTGGTACAGGATATAGGCGTTAAACATGCACATTTGGAACAGATAGGCTAAAAACTTCTTGGACCAGTTCAGCGACCTGCAGATGAAGGGGTAGTAGGAAATGTTTTGGTCCAACTTATCCACTCCATTCATGTGAGAGTTGTATGCAACAATACACTCTGGCTTGAACTGAACAACCTTGTCTTTGTGCCCCTTCTGCCACACATGAACTTTCTGCATCCCATCTTGGTGGCAGGTTTTCACCATCTGCGCTAATCGTTTGTCCTGCCGTGCTACTACCATGACTTTTTCATTGTGCCGCACAACTTTGTCCCCAGTCCCTAGATCGGTTTTTACCAAATCCCTGATGACCTGAGGCTCCCTCCTATTCTTCCTCAGTGTTCCACAGACATTGGTCTGTGCTTCCAGTAAGCACTCACACAGTGCTACAGAATTGTAGAAGTTATCCATATACAGTGTATAGCCATGACCTAAAAGGCGATCAAGAAGAGAAAACACGGTGTCTGGCAAACTACTACCTTCCCCAAAATAAGGCCTCTTATTGAAACAACAACCCGTGGCAGAGTCACACAATATGTGGAACTTGATTCCATATTTCACAGGATTTTGTGGGTTGTACACCCTGAAAGATAAGCGCCCTCGCCACAGCTTCATACCCTCATCAATGCAAATGTTTTTGTCTGGCTGATACATCTGCTTGAATTTTTCCACAATGTAATCAAATAAATCACAGTCTAAGTCTGCAGCAGCATCTTTGGGTCCAGAGGATGCAGTAAAGGGGATCTTGTTGGGTTGCCAGCCGGCCTTATCCCAGTCCAAATCCTGCCCTGGAGTCCTGCTTGATGCACGACCTGTAATAATCACACACACACACACACACACACATTATTTATTTATTTGTTTTTATATTTATTTGTTTGTTGCCTCTCTAACCTCTTTTCTTTGCAGTACCCAGAGCTGTGGTGGGGGGAGCTTTTCTGGGTGCACGATCTGTAAATTGAAAATATCTTCAAATAATAGTCAAAAATCAAACCATTCCCATTATAAATCTGTACAGAAAAAAGCTGGAAACAAGTGTTGAGGAGAGTGTGACATTCATGAAAGTAGGGAAGACGGGTAAGCGTGAAGAAAAGAATGACGTGATCACAACAAACAAATAACACAGCCATTAGCTGTTAGCTAGCTGTTACGTTACCTTATTCATTTTTTCTTTTATCGTCTGGTGAAGAATCTCTGCTGCTCCCAGTTGGTCCAGACGGCAACCATTCCTCTGACGAATCTGGATCAGGTTCGCTAAAATGATCTGAGTCAGGACTGTCTGCTGAAATCAATGTCTCTGGCTCAGATTAAACATGTTGCGACCTACGCCTTTCGCCTCCCCTTGACCCGGGTTGGTTGTCGTCTTTTCTTTCAATAGGAACACGATGCAAAGTTTAGCTACCGCTAAACAGACTTTGTTGAAGTGTGAGCTCAAAAGGTTATCCGCTTTGCGTCTCGCCATAGGCATAGTGGCTTCCCAAAACCAGCTCCTATTTCATGGATCGGCTTCTTCCCGATCACGTGACGTGTCACGGACGCGCACACAGGTGAAGATCATTTTTAGATGATTGGTGTTTACTGTCAGGGTGCGTGAGCTTGTTCCCTACCACCTCCCGTTAATAACATAATGGACGACTAATTGGCAGTGAACGAGTTAAGCTTATAAGCTTTTGTAACAGTCACTGACATGCCGGTTTCATATTACTTCAGTACAGTCCTCACTGCAATGGACTGCATACTGGCCAACAGAAGCATAGCGGTGTCGTTCATGCAGTCCAGTACAGTGAGAACTGTCCATGGGTCTCATTTATCAAGCATTGCATAGAATCCTTACTAAAACCGTACTTAAGCTCAGCAAAAAAAAAAAAATGTACTTACGCCAAGTAGGTTTGTGATCTATCAAACATGGAGCATAAATCAGAAACTATCTAGAAAGATTCTCAGCTGCTTTTTAGTCACATCCCGCCCTCACCACGCCCACTTACTGCCATAAATAGTCCATGCAAAGTGCCTTGTGGATCTCATGCATATACAAAAGCCGGCTGTTGCAGCTGCCCTTTGTCACCGATTCTGTTCATAAACTTTATGGACAGAATTTCTAGGCACAGCCAAGGTGTGGAGGGCATCCGTGTTGGTGGCTTGAGGATCAGGTCTCTGCTTTTTGCAGATGATGTGGTCCTGTTGGCTTCATCAGAACGTGATCTTCAGCTTTCGTTGGAGCGGTTCGCAGCCGAGTGTGAAGCAGCTGGGATGAGAATCAGCTCCTCTAAATCTGAGACCATGGTCTTGATTCGGAAAAGGGTAGAATGCCTTCTCCGGGTCAGGGATGAGGTCCTGCCCCAAGTGGAGGAGTTTAAGTATCTCGGGGTCTTGTTCATGAGTGAGGGAAAACTGGAGCGTGAGATCGACAGGCGGATTGGTGCTCATCTGCAGTGATGCGGGCGTTGTACCGGTCTGTCGTGGTGAAGAGAGAGCTGAGTCAGAAGGCAAAGCTCTCGATTCACCCATCGATCTACGTTCCTACCCTCACCTATGGTCATGAGCTTTGGGTAGTGACCGAAAGAACGAGGTTGCGGATACAAGCGGCCGAAATGAGTTTTCTCCGAAGAGTGGCTGGGCTCTCCCTTAGAGATAGGGTGAGAAGCTCCGTAATTCGGGAGGGGCTCGGAGTAGACCCGCTGCTCCTCCACATCGAGAGGAGCCAGTTGAGGTGGCTCGGGCATCTGGTCAGGATGCCTCCCTGGTGAGGTTTTCCGGGCACATCCAATCGGGAGGAGACCTAAAGATAGACCCAGGACACGGTGGAGGGATTATGTCTCTCACCTGGCCAGGGAATGCCTTGGGATTCCCCCGGAGGAGCTGGCCCAAGTGGCTGGGGAGAGGAAGGTCTGGGCCCCTCGCCATAGGCTACTGGCCCCGCGACCCGACTCAGGATAAGCGAATGAAAATGGATGGATGGAAAATTACTTAATATAATGTCAATATAATACACATTGTGGCGGCTATACTGTCAATTAAGTTTCCGACTGTATTTACTTTAATGGTAAACTACATTAAAATACAATTACAGTGTCCAAAATGTAAATTAACAGTTAAATACTGGCAGCTACAGATGCCAGTATACTTAGTTTTTATTAAAATTTATGTTCTGTATTTACTTTAACAGTAAGCTAATTAAAAAAAATAGTTTACAGTATCTTGTAAAATAGCAGTAAAATTATATATATATATATATATATATATATATATATATATATATATATATATATATATATAGTATTATAATGTTATTTTACAGGAGTTTTTTTCTTAAGGTGTGTAATACAATGATGTACTGTGTCTTTAAATCTGCTGGTGCTGGAGCTGCCTCTCAGGTGTTCTGTATGAGTGGAGGTGAGAGGCCGAACCTTGTGGAGCATTTAGGTCATCTCCTGTAGATGCTATGCAGTTTGAGGTTGGAAAACTCCTCTTCGATTAAGAAGGTTAAAACTAATGCTTGACTACTAGATTAGTTTACAAGGATATGGTAATGATCAGCCTGACATGGTTTTGGGGACGAGTTTAACCCAAGACATGCAGAATCACCACTCACGCACCAAACAGGTAAAAGTAAAGTATCTTTATTAAAATAATCGGGAACTGAGGACACACTGGATAAGGCCCAGTGGATTGCAACGGAACCGCAGCATGGGGAGCTGGGAGCTGAGGAGTTGGGAGGGTAGGTGGAGTGCCGGGGTGAATCCAGGAAGGGGGGTGTCCAGGAGAGGGAGCGCAAGGAGAGCAGGAGAGCGGGCCGGCAGGGAGGAGAGGAGAGGAGAACGGTGAATGCTGCGTCCAGGAGATTTATGGGGCACAGGTGAGTAATCCAGCGGGATCGTGGAAATGTCCAAGTAGTCAATCAGAGGAGCCACAGGAAAACCAGAGAAACTCCAGAAGCTTCAGAAGTGCAAGGAGATCCTGAGGAGTCAAGGTAAGGTTCACAAAAGATCCAAAATCCTGGGAACAGGTAAGCACAAGTATATCCACAAGGGATCTAAAATCCAAAAATCACTAGAGTTAACCTGGAGACACAAAGGGCTGGAACTACCAAGTTGTAGTTAATCATCCGGCGTCGAGATGTGTTCTCCTCCTCAGGGGCGGCGTTAGGCCCGGCTACTTGGGCTGAAGCCCCAGATGTTTTATGAAAAGCCCCGGATCTAAATCGCGGAAGTAACATGCAGTACCAAAGTCCAACAGAGAGGGAGCAGCTGGCAGTAGTTTGTATACAGCCTGCCTGAGCCTCCACCACTGAAGAAGAAGCCCTTCAGCAGCCGGCTTCTTCTATACTCTGCCTGAAACGCATGAGTGAAGATGGACATAAGGACGTTTTTTAGACAAAAAGTACAACGACAGAACCCCAGCTTTGATGAGACTGGTGTTGACTCAGGTTTGTTAGTCTTATTTGAAAAAATTAGTTGTGCTGCTGGTTTGCCTAAAGTTAGCTTATCAGGTAAAGTTGGTGGAGAAAGAAAGAGAATATTTACTATCATCTCACACTAAACACTAACAGGGATAGCGTAATATTGGTTTTGGATGGTAAAAAGCGCAGGGGTCAAAACTTGACTTTGGAAAAACTGGGGGGGGGACATGTCCCCCCCCCCCCCCCCCCCCCAAAAAAAAATTACATCCATGGCTGGACCCGCTGATTGTTAATGAGCTGCAGCTGGAGCCTCCCTCTCCTGAAACACAGCAGCTCAAAGATGGAACAAAAACGAGAGGAGCACTCACCCCGGCACATGACACATCCTACAAAGACAATGTTATTGGATTGCTGGGAACATCAGAAGGCGACATCATTTAGCTTTGGATGGGTTGGAGATTGTAAAGCACAGAGTTTTGAGTTAAATCAATTCAAATATTGTTTAAATGTGACTGATTCATCGGTTACCCATGGATGTTTTCTGTTCCAGTTGTACATCTATCCTTACAGCAGATACTGAGGAGTAAAGATAGGTGTAATTCTGAGTGGCTCATGGTACAAGAATTATTAGATAAATACAAGGATAGTTTGGTTTCATATACAGATGGATCTAAAGATCCTTGTAGTGGAAGGACGAGTGCAGCAGTGAATATTCCAAGGTGGGAGATTCAGATTTGAAAGAGATTGGCGGATTTTCCTGTGGTGTATACTGCTGAATTAGTTGCAATTATACTTGCACTGACTTGGATGAATGAAAATGATGCAAATTGTATAGAGAAAATGATCATAGCTTCTGATAGTCAAGCAGTTCTACTCAGTATTGAAACAGGAAATTCATGTAGGAAAGACTTGTTGAATAACGTTTATCTCCTTCTGTTGCAGCTAATGAACAAAAACATAAAGGTTATATTTATTTAGATTCCTGCCCATGTAGGTGTGGAAGGTAGTGAAGAAGCTGATATTTTGGCCAAACAAGTACCAAGATCAGAAGAGATAAATATACATGTTCCAATTAGTCGAGCAGAAGGGAAATCCTATATTAATTTCAAAGTTTTACAACTGTGGCAGGGCTGTGGAAGTTTTAGTGATACTGGGAGATATTTGTGTAATATTCAAAATAGGGTAGCATATAAGATAATTATTGAGGGAAATCGTAGACAAGAATAAGTTTTGTCTAGATTGAGGATAGGCCACACAGGTTTAAATTATTCACTTAAGAAAATTGGAAGACATCAGTTGGGTTTGTGTGATTATTGTGGACAACAAGAAACTGTGAAACATGTTTTAATAGAATGTCAGCAATATGCGGAACAGAGAATTGGACTTAAGTTAATCATGGATAAGGAGAACAAAGTGTTATCACTTTGTACCCTTTTGGGAGACTCAAGCATATTAATTAGGAAAGTGTTGATGCAATATTTGATGCGTACAAAACTATTTTTCGAATTTAAAAGTATTGATTAATTAGCTGGAATTGATAGGTTAGTGTTGTTCAAAGTAAAGTTTCCTCTGACCATTTTATTGATGAGTATTAGTTTGGTTTGGTATGTGGTGGTAATGCCCCAGAACTGGAGCCCAACTGCCAATAATTTCAACAGAAGAAGAAGAAGAGGGGCAGAACCAGCAATTAAGCCATTTTGGTGAGGCCCACAACCAAGTAAGTTACAATGAGTTTTCTTGTGTAATTTTTTGTACAAAGGTCATGATGTGTCTAAATTGATGCACTTGTCTTCAGCTGCTGTGTTGTTCCTAGCCAATGTTTGGTAAAGTGGCTGTGTCCAAAGCTCGCTTCCCTTGGCAAGCAAAGCAAGGTATGCTGTACTAAATTGTACTGTTTGCATGTGTTATGATTAATGTGTCAGTTGAATCTTGTTTTCTTAAATGTTTGTGTTGTTTGCTCTTTTTGTAGTTTTCACAATGCTTTAGGACACTTTAAGCATTTAAAGAGTGCTCATTGTTCTCATGATGTTCATGATGAGACAACTGAACAAAGAAGAGAAATGAATAAAAGGTCTGCACCCGTCGAAACTCTTGCTGATGTATTTGGAAGTCATGGGGCTGTAACTTGTCGCCGACGTTGGAGTGAAAGAGGAGGCCAGAGAAAGGAGAAGATCTTGAAACCACATAAAATCCTGCTTGTCTCCATCCAAGGTGAACCATGAGTAAAGACTGATGTCCCATGTTTGCATCCAGAACTCAGACTTACTTGTAAATAAACCCAAGACTGGTTAATACTGGTCGACTGAATTCAAGAACCTTTCAACAAGTAATGGGCTGTCTGTATCGCACACATTTCAATGCATAAATATCAAGTGTCGTGTCTCTTGACAGCTTTAAAGGCTATTTTGTATTGGTGGCTTAATGTAAAGTCAATTGAATTTGTCTGTATTTATTATTTAGGTTATTGGATGTTAACTCTTAGCCCAAAATTCCACTACCTCCGCTCCGCTCCGGCACGAACTCCGCAGCAAAATCGGTCCTGTTGTAGTCAATCAGAGCTGTTCCACTACTGCGGCCGTGCAGCGCAGTGCACCGCCCGCCGTTCCGCCATCCGGCAAAAATAGGATTGATTCTATTTCTGCCGGACACCGGAGCACCTCCGCAGTCAATGGACAGAAATCACAACCACCCAACAGGAAAAGGAGCAAGCACAACTTCCGTTATTTCACAATAAATTGATAAACAAAAAGCATTTTTTGTTTCATATGCACAGGTTTAACAACTTTTAACAACTATCAATGGCGGTTGAACTTTAAATGCACCAAAATAAGCCATAAATACAGTTTCTACTATCAAAGTAGTCACACTCTGTTGATCCAAACACTGCTGATCTCTCAACACAAATAATGGGCAGATTAGACAGTTCATTTCGATGCTTCTCCCACGGAGCGGAGCCGTTGTAGAGCGGGTACCAGTAAAAATTGAGTTCGGAAGCGAGCGGCTGCGGAAGGCGGGGGCGGAGCGGAGGTAGTGGAATCTTGGGGTTAAAGTGCCAGTAACCTAATTCAAAGTGTTGTCATCAAATGATGCAGCAGAGGAATCCAAGGAGCTGAAGCAGGTTAAAACCAGCTCTAGAGAGTGTACATTAACAGAAAAGAGTAAAGAGCTCCATTAACAGCAAGCAAAGAGAAATGAGAGAGCCTTTGATCTATGGCGTATAAGTCTTGGAAAAAGGCAGCCACAAATGCCAGAACTAAACTTAAGGGTTGTGTAGTTGAGGAACTGGACAAATTAAAGGAAGAAGTTAAAATGAAGGAAACATAGTTGTGTAAGTTGTATGAACCCATTTGTAGAAATCAAACCTTAAAAAGATGGATGCTTGTTCAGTACTGACAGCAGAAATTCTTGATCTTATTAGAAAACGGGTTGAAACTTTTGAATCTGTGTTCAATGATCAGCTTGAAAAGGATCATGTGAGAATGATTTTGAACAAAAATTAATATGCCTCAACATTTGGATCCTCAGTAACAGAGACTGTAACTTCTGACTCAGAAGCGTCAGACTTACACTCAACAGCATCCTCCGGCTTCTCTAAAAGAGCTGAGGCAAAGGCTGAACTTGCTGCAAAGGTAGAGCAGGTCATAGCTCTTCAGGAGATCCAGGAGCAAGGTTAAACCTTTTTAGAGAGTGATTGTAATGTAAAAGAAGCTCTAACGCTTGCAGAAAAGACTGTGAAATTGGAGAAGAGGAAACTGCAAC